CCTGCATTCAATAATCACCACAGAATGCTAACACTGAAACACGATCTCCAGTTTCCTGAATATTGTGGCGTTTAACACGGCGGTTTGATGTGGATTCATTCTGCAGAACTCATTATTAAGACTCAATGAGGCCTAAAATATTCTCAGCGGTAGGAAAAAGGACACGATGCCTTGTGACAACTTTGACCGGAGTCATTTTCCAGGAGAACCAGAGCCGTTCCCTTTGAGTGGAAACTTATGTCACACCTGCAAAAGTGAACAGCGGATGCACGGAGATGAAACGACAGAAAACGGCGGAGCTGAACAAGCAGAGGTCGAGGTAAACATCAGGTTTACGCCCGTTCTCTGAAATACCATATACTGTAAATTTGTGCAAGTGGGTGCACACATTAAACTGCTCCACCTGCAGGAAATCTATCAAGAGGGTCTTTGGGAGACTGCAGGAGGTCTTTGAACATGTGCTACTCAGCTGCTCACCTTCTAGCTCGGCTCTGCACGTCACATTAACGGAGCGAGAGATTTACGCCCCTGCTACGACCGGGGAAAAAAACCCTATTCGGGCCACATTTCTTTGGTGGTGATTATTGCTCCCATTCATGGGCGTGTATTATATTCAGAATGTAACAGAATATATGTGTGACACTAATGACTCTTGTGGTTTTGGAAGTGGAACAATTTCCCAAAGTCCTAAACTTCTCAGGTAGCGTCTGTCAGAAACCTGCTGCTGTGGCGGAGGGCAGCTCTGCTTTTACTTGTTCTCCGTGGCGTGAAGAGCGACCCAAATGTAGGACAAACCTTCACAGGAAAAATATCCACTTCCTTTGGGCCCGAGAGGAAAGTGTCGACAGCTGAAGCCTCTGCTGCGCCTGCTTCCAGGTTTCATATGGGCCGTTTATGTAAAACAACAGAGAGCCCGTGGAGGGAAAAAATAAATGTTAAAGAGCTTGATAATTCACCATCTCCTAGAGTGGATCAGAAGGAGACAAACATCAGCTTCTCATTGGGCTGCAACTATTGAATGTTCTTACAATTTAAGTGAAATCAGTCATTCTGACTCGTTTCTGATTCTACAAAGTTCATGTTGCTTTAAAATAGAATAGAATAAAACTTCTTGTTACAAAAATCCACGTCATTGTCCTCGGATCTTACATCTGACATGCAGCGTAGTATTAAACGAGTAATGTGGACATTAATATTGTAATTTGGCACGCTACAGTTTTATTCTTGGACTATAACAGCTTTGCATGATTCTCCGTTCAAAATAATCCTCATTTGTCTTAAACTTGGCCTTAGTTTCCCCCTCTGTTCATCCTTCATGTGAAACAAGCCACTTTAGTGCAAAAAGCCAGCGCTGGAAAGCAGGAAACAGTGTAGTAGATACTCATGAATTGTGTGGTTGAAATTATAAACACATGAAATTTGACTCTTTAATATCTTGTGACAAGTTCTGCAATAAATTGACTGCAGCAGGCTCTTCCTGTCTTAAGCTGATCATATTCTACTTCTTCACACCGTTTTTTAGTAATATGTTAGAGATCATTGTTGCAGAGAGATTAAATATTTTAGCTTTGATGCATTTGGCTGAATCTGAGCCCAAAGAAGGTTCCAGTAGATTTAAGTTTCAACATGAACTATGAACTGTGGCCAAACTAACAGTGTTTCACCACTGCAGTGAGAAGTAATGTGGTTCCATGAAGCATCTCTTCTGGAGGCTGAGACTGCCATCCAGGCATCAAAGAAGACTTCAGACTAAATATAAGATGATGTAAAACATTTGAGCGCTCATAAACATTTATGCACGCCTCAAACTTTACAGAAAGTGTTACTTATGAGCGTATTTGACTAATGATACAGTCCAAAAAAGTTTTTTTTTTAAACATAATGTTGTTTGTCAAATACATTTGAAACGAATCACAGAGCTGCTGGGGATGAGGAGAAGCTGCACAGCTCCTCAGACAGTGCCTCAGGTTTAAAGTGGTGCATGGAAACACACAGGGGCCCGTGTTGGTGAGCCCGACACCCTCACACCACCTCCATTGTTACCTGGTGGAGTCATTGCTATAGGCTGGGCCCAGGCTGGCGACTTTTGCCATGTTCTGCTGACGATTGCTGGGCTGTCCTGTGCAACACTGGTGCGACCCAACATCATCTCAGCTGGAACTGCTGTGCAAACAACTAATGTGCAACTTAAATGTTACTGGTGATCTGGTTCCCGTGAGGGGGAGGGGAGTGCATAACGGCTGCATCCTTGGGCTGGACCTTTTGCGAGTCATTGGTGAGGTGCCAGACCTGGGCAAAGGCTTTCTAATACTCCCTGGAGGGAAGACTGTGCAGCTTGTTCCCCCTTGGTGCGTCCCGCCACGGCTGCAGTGTCTGCTTGCATCTCAGAGACCCCTGCATACCCACCAGGCGAACTGCAAACTGAAGAGGAGGAGTGGTTATCGCCGATCATTTTGTCCAAGAACTGTGATGGGTTGATTCCTCAGCAGCAAGAGAGTGTGTGGCAAGACATTTCTGCTCTTAAAGAAAGTGATGTGAGCCTGACAGACTTGGTGACACCGGCAATGCTCAACCTATGAAAGTATCCCCCTGACACCTTCCCATGGCTCATCAGGAGGCTGCGGACAGAAAGATGGGTGGGATGATGAAGACAGGCGTCACTGAGCCATTGACAGCCCAATGGCCTCTGCTGTGGTGGTGCCCAAGAAAAACAGCTCAAGGAGGCACTTCTGCTTGGACCACAGACCAGTCAATAAAATCAAAAGGCTCTTATCCCCTCCGAAGAATTGACAAACCCCTCGACTTGGTAGCAGGATCCTCCTCGTTCTCCACCCTTGACCTGCCAAGTGGATACTGGTAGGTGCAATTGTCCCCTGAGTACAGACCAAAGACAGGGGGACTATGGCAGTTCAGGGTCCTGAACAATTCCTCCACCACCTTTGAGAGTCTTATGGACAGTGTGCTGGCTGGTGTCCTATGGCAGTGGTTTCTTGTCTACCTGGACGAACGTCGGGTGCATGGGAGCATCTTTGGTGCTGCTCTGGATGCCCTGAGACAGCTGATGGAGAGAGTGACAGCTGCAGGCCTGAAGCTGCACCCTGATAAGTGCCACATAGTGAGAAGGGAGGTGGAGACTCTGGGCCACAAGTTGCATCATTAAGGCATCAGCACTTTGGAGAAAAAGTTCACAGCATTGAGGACTGGCCCACCCCCACAGACCAGGTCCAACTTAAATGTTTCCTAGTGCTGGCTGCTTATGAAGGCCTTCTCCTCCATCGTTGCTCATCGGGATATTTACCATTTAGCTGAGAAGATATCTTTGAAGAGTATCATTGTTGGGTCCTTTATTGTCTGCACGGCCAAGTCATAATTTCACTGTATTGCTTTTCTTTAAAAATGTAAGTGTGACGTGTTACATTCAGTACTTTTACTTAATTATGTTGTAGCATGAACGGCCACATGGAGGTCTTTATCAGCAGAATCAAAGGCATAAAACTAAAAATACAGTTAAAAGTCTTCAATTCATTCATTCATTACCAAGTGTCCAGGGGGCCGGATTGGAAATAATAATAAAAAGTATAACATTTGCTTGACAGCATTTGAAAACTAATTCACCAATTTTGTATGTAATGACTTTAGCAATGAAATGAAGACTAATAGTTTTATTGGGAACGACTATTCAGCATCCAAAAGTTCATTTTGATTGACATGATATAAGCAAATGATAATGTGTCGATGGCAGAGAATTGTATGAAAGCAACTGATACATGTTCAGAGGAAGGAGACATTGCTACTATGATGTGCACAAATGACTAAATGTTGTGGAGGTTGCACTAATGGTTTTGAGAATTTTCATTCTGATCTGAGAAAAGCAGAAAAACTGTAATTAGATGTTTGGAGGCAGCGTCAAGCGGGCATGAAAGGAACTGCAGTTTTAAGCCATTTGGAAAAACATGTGACAAGTTCGACACTGTAACAATGCAAACTTGAAAATGTTTTGGTACTTTAACACTAGACTGCAAATGAAGATGAACGAGCGAGTGATAGAAACGTAAAAACTGGAAACAGTCCCATACGATAGATATTTTCTCCTATCGTGCTCCTGAGGTCTTGGGGACTTTTATGTATTGTCGAACAGTAGCCGGGAGAAAGTGGCTGAGAAGCCGACTAACTCCACCGTATCCAGCTCTGTTAATACTGCACATCCATAATGGGGCAGCTCATTTTTCAACAATGCTAACCGTTACAGCAGTGCCATTATGAGGCGAAGCTTTGACGTGAAGAATCTAAATGAACATTATTACTACTCGAATTACTCGAGTAATCGTCTCAGCCCCATTTTCTTATCTTTGTGTATCTGCACCTGTTGTGCTTTTCAGTACTTTGCATGTTTCCAACGTTATACGAGACTAGAAATGTTTAATATCATTCAGCATCCTCGCTGCGTTGCAGCAGTTTGAGGCTGAGAAGCGGAGCAGGCGGGAGCTCTGATTTCGTCATTCAGATTTGCTCCTCTATAACCATTACCTTACTCCCCACTTTCCCCCCTGGAGCACAGGTGAGCTGAGCTCGGCTCTACAGCCATGTCCTGCTTCTACTGCACATTCACAACAGCTGCAGGCTTCATATATGAGCACTTGATATGAAAAAAGAATTAATTTGATCTGACCGCAACCTGCAAAATCCCCATCAGTGCAATAAAGCCTCCCAACATGGAACCAGGAAGATTTACCTGGATTAGGAATGAGCTATAACAGTATTAATATTTTCTACAGTAGCAAATGCTGCAACGGAAACTGCATAAGGGAGCTATTACTACTGATTCTCCACAGAGCATTTTGGATTTACTGAATTTCCAGCATGTTGGTAGAGAACAGTTTTGTATGTCAAACAAAAGCTCCTATTAAAAACAATATGCATGTGAACAAATGCAATAAGTTGATTTCTATATGGTGCATGAAAATTAGGTTTTTTAATTTCAAAGTAGTTGCAGGTTGTCATGCTTGAGCAGCGACTGTCAGTGCCAGAAATATTTAAACAAATGCACAACCAAAGTGAACCAAAGTGAAAGCAGGATTAGCTGACTGACTCTTTATGGATCTGTTCTATCATAATAGTTCAAAACAAGACATAGATAGATATAGATATATTTATGTATATATATCTATCTATCTAAATATATAGATATCTAGATAGATAGATAGATAGATA